TCTTACAAACTGGTTATCCAAGACGTATGCTGTTGCTCACTTATTTTTTCTTAGGAGTAGGCTCCTCTTCGTGAAATCCGCCCTTTATTATGACTTCACGTGTGGTGGAGTTTATATGTTTGAAGCGGTCGGGCCCAATATGGGTTCCTCCGAACCATCTGCTTACAACGACGATAACGTTCCATGCATTCATGATCTGCAGTGTTAGTAGTTCGAGACATAGTAAATGAAAAAATGTAACATACCGTAAGAAGATGTAGCATTCTCAGACCAGCTGCAGTTTCTCCATCATCGTCACAATCCAGAAACGTGATATTCTTCTCGCCTTTGATCCTCCATGCATTCATATTGTGACTAGCCCTTGCAATCTTGCGATCTGTGAGAAGGAGCTCAAAGTTTTCAATGGCTTCTGCGACAGAATGAACTTCTTTGGCATATGCAATAAATGTGGAACCACGGTCATGAATTGGTTCTGATTGAATCCAGTCGGCAGTAACATCTACTGATGGTACACTTGCCAGTTCTGCCCCATCAGATGCTCTCTTTATGTCTTGCAATTTCATCTGCTTCCGTTTTGCTTGCTCTAGGCGTAGCTTTTCCATCTGCTCTGATAGTTTCTTCGTTTCTTCTTCATGTTGGCGTTCGTAATCTTCGATGAACTGTTCCACTTCTCCCAAAAACTCGAATATCACAACGTCCCCGGTATTGAACAAGTTACTTAATATACTATTCACGCGTTGTTCGATGTAACTGTTGTCCGGAAATTTTCTAATATCCCCGGTTATAACTTGAATAATGCTTGGAGGTTCTTCTGGGTACTCAGTTGGGAAGCTCATTTGAACAGTCACCTCAGCATGATCCGGAACGGTAAAATTATATATTTCGGACGTGATCTGTTCCACTGACTCTGGAAAAATGGCCTCAATTGCGTCGATCTCCTCTTTAAGCTCTTCTGTCCCCATTCTTCGTTAGTTGTGTAGAATCCAACTTTGCGAAAAATCATACAGAGCGCATTTATACTCATGCCTACCTCTGCCGAATTCAAAGCAAAAGGGAACGAAGCCTTTGCTGAAAAACAATTTTTGAAAGCTGCAAAACTCTATCGTGAGGCAATTACCCTTGATCCGAACAATCCTGTTCTCTTTTCGAACAGAGCACAATGCTTCATCAACTTATCTGATTTGGGAACCGTGCCTACCGTGACACAGAGAAAGGGCTAGCATTAAATTCCAGAGAGAAAGATCAAGTCCAAGTTGCTATATAGAAGGGGAATAAGCTCAAAGCAATTGGGTTACACAGATTTAGCTTTGAAATCTTTTCAGGAAGTGGTGAAACTTGATCCTGCGAATTCATCAGCTCTTGAGGAACTGCAATTTCTCTCCGACATGAACAAAAAACATAAATCATCCGCTGGAGCACAAATTCCCATCGAATATGTTGACAAATTGCCTCCCCAATTCGATCTCATCGTAACACCTACCGGAGCGGAGGACCAATCTAATAAAAGCCACTCGCTGTTAAACGAACAGGACGTCAATCAGGCTGTTGAGGAGCTATTCGGTAAAAAAGCAACTGAAGAACATTTGTCAACCCCAAAGAAATCTAATTCTTTGAACTTCAATGAAATGCCGTCAATGCATTATTTGAAATCTTTGACAACTTCACCTCCAGAACGCAAAATAAATGCATACAAATTGGTTGTTGACCTCGAGACTACCACGATAAGAGATTTATTTGGTAAAACTGGAGAGGACCACGAATTTTTTGAGCTTTTCATTGAAGCTTCCACAAGGGGCTATAACTGAGGGGTACAAATCTGAGTCCAGTAC